AGGCAGCGCGGATTGGGGGGGGGTTCTTGGCCACCAAGCGCCTAGGCGGTGGCCCAGATAGAATAAGAAGGGTAGGTGGTGTTTGATCCAATTGTTTTAAGGTCCAGATTTTATATAAAAACTAAAACGTGCATACTGAGGCATATAACACATTAATAATGCATAACATTTAATCCATCCATAGTCCGTGATCCATACACTTCATACCATTAGTCCATAGTCCATACACAGTAAAAAAAATGGATATTGAGGCAAGGTCCAAAGTATTTGAGATTTGGAGAATTAGTTAATGATACATTAAGCAAAATAGGAAATAGAAAAAAAATAACACAGTCCGTAGTCCACATATAATCCATGACTCTATACTCCATAGTCCATAGATACACATAAGAGGAGGAAAAGAAAAAGGAAATAAATATATACTTGAAGACTTAAAGAGTCTTCAGTCATCTTCATAAAAAGTAGGGTCATATGCATCGGAGTCGAGCCTATCATCATCAGAATCATCTCCCTCCTCAACATAATGGTCGTCCTCCTTTGTTTATTCTGAATCTTCCTGTGCTTTCTCCTCTTCCTCCGCCACCCTCGTCCTCTATGAAGCTGATCTAGTGGTCCTAAGAGGGTCGGCTCCTCTTCCTTAGTCATCCATGACCATGTCCCATATCAATCCTTCATGCCCCTCGACCTCATCATCATCAACCAATCACTCCATGGCATTGTCCATATGTTTTATTCTAAGGGGTTCTCTCTTATCCCTCTTCGTAAACCTCTTCTTCAAGTGTCAATTGAACTTCACATAAACTAGGTCATTTAACCTCTTTGATTCAAGCGTGTTTCTTTTCTTTGTATTAATCTATATGAAAAATGATAAACACATACAATAAAATCAAATGAAACTAGTTAATATCACAATTGACATAGTAATAAGTAATTATTAATACAAATTAGTAAACTGTAAACTAATAAAATAAATTATGCTCATAGCTGGACGAGGTAGTGGTTAGATTCAAGATCTGAAAGGCAACTTTTGTATGTTTGGAGCACTACACCAATGTTGGCTCTACCAGTTGGCTACAAATTGATTATAAATTACAATTATATGTGAAACATAAAAAACAAACAACAAAGATGAAACTTGAACTTGAAGACTGGGTTAAGTATATTATTATTACCTGGATCAATTTTGTTCCTTGTTCTTATCGTCATTGTACTCCCAAAAGATTTCAATGCGCAGTCGTAACTTCTTAATTCGTCAGCGCATATAATGTCTTGGATATCCTGATTAGGGACTAACATATCTGGACACTTACTAAATCCAGTCATAATTGTGTCATTTCTCTGTATATTCTTATTAGCATAATAAAAAGCTGAATTCAAATAATAACCAACTACATGCAACAGTCGATGTAGTTGCCTATCCCACTTCTTATCGATAATCTCCCAAACTAGCTCATAGAGGCTCTCATCATTACCCAAATTATGGGCTATCTCTCTCATGCAACTTTTCATTCCCTCATATATGAAGCCCTTGGAGGGCTTGTCACTGTCAACCATGTGAAGGACATTTACAAGAGGAAAAAATACCTTAAGAATGCCATTTATCCCTTGCCAAAAGGCGTTAGGACAATATCTCTCTCTTTCTTCCCTTTCTGATCCTTGGCCACTTGCATGCTCTCCAATCATCAGAGGTGAACATCTGCGTCAACTAGAATCTCTTCAAATGTATGCTATGCAGACATAGGTCGTCATCATCATCAGAGCATTTTGCTAACTATTTGGGGTTGGCTATACAATTCCTGGTCCGCCTTCAGTATTCATAGAAAGTGTTATATTAGCTGCCAATCTAACATAACCCACTTCCTTTACCCAGGCTTCAGACGAGTTAAGGGAAAGTTTAAGATCCTCACCCTTCTTAGGCCACTATGTAAAAATAGATTCCAGGTAGCAAATCTCGTGACCCCCAGCCTCACAATTTCCTCTGTCTTTGTAAATTTGCGCATCTTGCTAAGGGTGAGGTGTGGTTATAAATGAAAGTTGTAGCTAACCTAGAGCCTTAGGCATGAGGTCTATGTTGTGTGCTGTGTATGGTGTCCCAAAAATATAATGATAAGCTAGGCGCAACAAATTAGCGACAACGTTGGGAGCAACATTATATGTTACAACCTGTATAACATGTTTCTCGCCAACCTCCTTGATGCCCTTCTCAAACACTATAAATATGTAATGGGCATCATGGCTCAGTAGAGCGAAAAAAAGAATCCCCAAAGGACAATTCACCAACAAATGCATCCGACTTCTTCTCTCCTTGTCACTCCAAGTATCAGTCATTATAGACATCCCATATTGGGCTTATGCATCATTTTGCGACTCCACAATCTCCCTTGTGATATTCACCTCTTTTTTCAAAAGAGGCTGAAAGCTCATATGGGTTTGGGGGCTTCAACCCAGGTCGAAATTGTCCAATGGCCTCTATGAAGGTGTAGAAGTTGCTTAGGAGAGCGACATTAAAAGGGATGCCTGCCTCGTAAAACCACCATGCAATATATTGGGCAGTTCTCTCTCTTGCTCTCTTCTTTTTTGATTCTATTTCAATGGTCATTTGCTTCTTGGTTTTCTCACCTGCAACCTCAAGGGTCAGGCGGGGGTAAAAAAGAAATCCATAGGCTCGTTAACCTGAGGTCTCTTAGGTCCCCCCCACCCCTAGATCCAATTGCAACTCCCTTTCCTTTCTTAGACTGGGACATAGCAAACTGCTTCACCTCATCACACCCCTCCTCATCACTCTTGTCATTATCATAAATACAAACCCCAATCCTTAGCTCCACTATGCATGCCTCTTTATTTTCTTTTTTATTTTTACTTTATGCATATAATTTTTAATCTCCTCCCTAATCGTATCAGGAACGTTTTTATAAGGGGCAGTATCCCTTCTGATACCGGCAAGATGTTTCTTGAACCGGTTTATACCCCCATTTATATCCTTCTCACAATAATTACATGTTATACAATTTTATGTAAAGGATTCGGGTTATAGTCGTATTTCCAACTCAGATCACCACTTCTATTAAAACCCCAAGAGGACATCTCAAAATAGCAAAAGCAATTTGAAATACAAAGTTTTTTCTATTGACCTTGATTGCTTGATATTCAAACTTCTACTTTTGAGATGTTTCTCAATCTCAAGTGCTTCCTCAAAACTCTCTAATAAGTTTAAAAAGATGTTGAAACCAAATCCAAACTAAAAGGATGATGTTTGGATTATTTTTCGAAACTTTGACAATTCCGTCAATCTTATATAAATCGCAAATTTCACTTTTTTGTTGTTTATCTCTTCCTAAATGTCATAAATGTGGTTTAGGTTTAGGTTGTAAGAGAACCTAACCCCCTCCCTCTCCCCCTCCCTCGGCCCTTTTCGCTCCTTAATTTAGACAAAAGAAGGTGAAAATGCATTTTTGTCCCCAGCAGGACGGATGCCTTAGGTGGCCACCCAAGGCTAGGCGATGGGATGGGCATCCGCCTAGGTGGGCGCCCGAGGAGCCCCCACCCAAGGGTGTTGCCTAAACTTGGGCTTGGGCTTTGTGCCCAACCCCCTAGCCCGCCTAAGCGCTAGGCAGGCTGTTCTTTGAATCACTGGTCCCTGATGTTCCTCCCTAAATCATGATGGCTTATTCATAGGATGGATTCTCAAATTTAAATCTCACTTACTCCATAGATTTCCTAAATCCTATTGGTCATGATGAGTCACAATTGGATAGGCATACCTAGGGCCCTTGACGCCTTTATAAGGGAGGGTTCCCCCTTCAATCTTTACACAATGTTCGAGCCTCTCTCTGTCTCTCTTGATTCTCTCTCCACACCCCATTCTCACTCTCATCTTTCTAGGTCTCTCTCTCTTCCCCTTCTCTATCTAAGTGGCATGCCAACCCCTTAAAAATCAAGGGGTGGCACCGCCCACCCACAAGGGCGAGAAAAAGGGGGGCATGTGAAGCCCTAAATTTGTAAAGTGGAGGTGCCACATGGTGGCATGCCCCATAGAATTAAATAGGGGTGAGAGGTATTGCCTAAAGAAGCGTATTGGCTTAGAAAATTCAGCAACGCTAATAGGATAAGAGTGCGCCATCAATCAGAAAGTCAAATGTGGGCTATACTGAGTTCTATGGGGTTAACCCTGGGCATATTCAAGTAAGTGTTCCCGGCTGTTTACTTTTATTTTTCAGTCGTAAGTGTGTTAATTAAATTTTTAAGATCATTATGTATGTTTAAATTTTTAGTAGAAGCTTGTTTTTCAATCCTGGATTACTTGCTAGTAAAAACGAAATCCTAGGTTGTATTTAGGGCAGTGTTAAAAAAACCGGCCGGCTAGAATCGGAATCGGCCTGTTAGATCGGAGCTGCTAGGGTCCCAATTCCGGTTAGGGCCGGTTTGGAGTGTATAATATCATAAGGTACATCCTTTAAAATGTCCAAGCCAAACACCGGCCGGTTAGGGGTTGAACCGGCTGTGTTTTTGTCTAACCAGCTAGTTTTCTGCTAACCGGACCGGTTAGCTGATAAATTGGGTGTTATTTACAAATAACAGTTATGGGACTATAACGGTATTATTTTGAAATAGTGGCCACTATATGTAGTAGACACCCATTTTTTATTGTATAGTACCTTTTTTTATTTGTTTTCCTACCAATTTTTGGCTTTTTTCGTGCCTTATCACTGTGAATCACTATCTAATGTCTATAGAACAAGAAATTTGGATTGAAACATCGAAAAAAAAAGAGTTTATTGGGGTTGAAATGGCAGACTTTAACGGGTTTTGAAAATTTCCGCCATTCTTTCAATAATCTCTTTAAAAGCGAATGGTTCTGGATGATATTTGGAGGGTTTGATAGACAACCGAAGCATTTACTAGATTTGTGTTTCAATTTGTTCAAACAATGAAAGATTGTGGGTTGATTTTGGCCCGAAATGCTGCTGCTCAAATAACCTGTGTTTGATCCAAAAACGCAGATTTTTTCATCAATTTATTGGTCGTTCTTTATCAAATTGAGTTGTGGATTTTGATCATCAAGGCCTCATCTATCAAATAAAATAGGTATGTTTATTTATGATTGAGTAAATTTTTTTATATGAACTCTTTTTTTGCATGATGTCATGAAAATTTCATAGATCTGAAATTTCATCCATTTTTGCAATTAAATAAGAAATACTGAATATTTTTTATGAGATTTGGTACGTTTAAAAGATGATCTAAGCCTTACAATGCATGTGACTTGATTTGCTCGATTATCTGAACATTGGGGATCGTTTCTTGCTTGAAATGTTACTCGATTTTAGGGGTTTCTGAGAATCAATTTTTCTAAAAAAATTATGTTGCTTAATAAAATTTTGTTCTTTGATGAATATGGGAAGTGTTTCTATATTTTGCTTAATAAAGTTTTTGATAAAATTATGTTTTTTTCATAAAACTATGTTTTTTGATCAATATGACAAAAAAATCGATTCTTCTCTTTTTAATGTTATATTGTTTTTCTAACAAAAATAAAATAAGTGCATGATAATGTCGCTCAATCTTTTGCTCGATTTTTTTTTGCTCTATTTTTTTAATTATTATTTTTTAATTGCATGATGTAGTTCTATTTGTAATAATGGAAATGGAACATGTTGGTTTTTTAAGTGCATGAAAATTTTTTTATTGCCTTCTTTTCAATGAAACACTTCAGCATTTCCTTGTATGTGCTTGGGCTTCTCAAATTTTTTTTCTTAAGGTAAATGTAGGTAATAAAATAATTACACTAAATCTATGTTTTTCTTTATTTTTTTATTTTTATTTTTTTTTAAGGGATTTTTTACCTTTTTTTTAAAAACAAATCTATCAGACCGGTTAGTCTGCTTTCAGTTCTAACCGCTCCCGGCCCCATGTCCGGTTAACTGTTTCGGTTCAATTTTGCGAACACTGATTTAGGGTTTTATTTCTTATTTACAGCTGTGTATTGTGGCACTTCTACATGGAATTCATATTGATTAATAAAATAAAAAGAGAATTTTTATACTTCCTTGAATTCCACATAGCCACTTTTTTCAATCCTTGGACCTGGTAAGTTAGTGGGATATCATCATCTGAACTAGCCTTAGGGGTTTCTGCATATCCGCTATATGGAGGCCACTACCAAAAGGAAGGAAAAAACTTAACTTTGATGGGTGCTCTTTTGGCAACCCATGGCCAGCCCGAATTGGTTGGGTATCTAGAAACCATTTTGGGGAGTCCCTTCTCTCCTCAAGGCTCAATGGCTGTCGGACATTACCCTTGCTGAGACACTTGTACTCCTGGATGGTCTATGAAGCTTGAAGAGCTAGGCTCGCAGTTTTTAGTGGAAGCTGGCTCTCAAAATGTCATTGCATGGGTTACCCAAGTCTTGTCATGTCCTCGGATACTCCATCGCTTTTTGGCATTATTGCAGAATTGTGATCTGCCATTCTGATCTCCTTTGGACATATTTGGAGGGAAGCTAATTAAGCTGCCAGTGCTTTAGCTATAATGGAGTTGCTCGCCCCAATCTGTTTGTGAAAAGATCAGTGGATGATTGATCCTAACATTCTCCCTCCTTTTCATAGGCAAATTTTTTAACAAACTCTTGCATCATATGCATTTTTTGTATACGGAGAATTGTACATCCTCATTTATCAATAGAAAAAGCCATTGATTAAAAAAAAAAGTCATGTATTTTCCTGTGTTATGTTCTCTGCCCCTATAATATGGTCGTCATTTTATCTCATAATCTGCTAGGACTTAGATGTATGATTTGGTCTGAGTTTAGGCTCATCAATTATCCACATATGGAAGTAGGATTTGCACTTCAAGAGCATTTGGAGGATCTCCCTTATTGAATGCTTAAGC